CGCATCAGAACATAAGACGAGATGAATTCCCAGCTGACTATTCGTTGACAGCGGTTTGGGAAATGAACGAGCTGAGTGGGGAAGAAATGCGTACCAAGAGATCAATAAGAGCTGTTTGCTGTGATTGCTTGTTTCCTTTGGAATGTGCTCTTCATATGTAATGCAGTACAGTAACACGTCCTTAATCGTATCGGCTATTGAACACTTGAACCACAAAAATAAACTGTAAATGATACATATCGCCCAGTAAGTTGGGTAACCGTGGCAAGAGGTGTGTGATGGCAGAATGCGTGCTCAATTCATACTTCAGTCATGTGACTCACAGCTCTCATACCTATCCTTCTTACAAATCGAATACTACCAATAGCATATGGAACAACGAGCTCAAATGCTCCGCAGACAGAGCGGGTGTTTGCTTTCAGGCAGTCACAAGATACATGTATTTGTACTGCATGCTACGACTTTGTTGGACTAGATGGTAGTCTAACACAGGCTGTAGTGCGCCGGCTGATCATCTTTTCTGGATGTTATAGCTCATGCCAAGTCGTTCGTTTATTATTTGGAGGCAGAGAAGTGGATAGCTACGAATCGGTGGCATATAATCGACCGGTGAATCTAGGAGTGGAAGTAGGCCTTTCATTGAAGAGATCGGGAAAGGAGGACATGCACTGAAGGCAACATCCGTGTTCAGTTCGTGAATTTCTCTTTCGGATGCCAACATCTGCGACCACTGAACAGCTGTCTTCATTCAGCTTACAGTTCCATTAACCACCAAACCAGCGAATCCGGTAACACTAGTAATAAGTTTTATGTCTTCTACGGAAAGGACATTTCCAACCCGTGGTATAAAGTGTAAATCTAGGAGTGGAAGTAGGCCTTTCATTGAAGAGATCGGGAAAGGAGGACATGCACTGAAGGCAACATCCGTGTTCAGTTCGTGAATTTCTCTTTCGGATGCCAACATCTGCGACCACTGAACAGCTGTCTTCATTCAGCTTACAGTTCCATTAACCACCAAACCAGCGAATCCGGTAACACTAGTAATAAGTTTTATGTCTTCTACGGAAAGGACATTTCCAACCCGTGGTATAAAGTGTAACCAGAAACTAGCGAAAAACGGGGGGGGGGAAATAAAAAAGCATAAAAATATCTACGGACCTTAAAGTGGATGAGACATCTGCCTAATAATGTTATTGACTGGAGGTAGACTGGCTCTGTGGTGAGCAAACCTACTGCTTGATTCATACAGATATGGAAGCAGACAAATTCGTGTGAACTGAAAACCCTAGTATCAGACAGAAAAACTGGGCGCAATATAGGGGGACTGGGACTGTCATAGCGAATGCTCCTAATTTGTGAGCATCATTGCTCAAAATTGCAACTATTCAGGATTCACCAGCACTGGGAATTCACCACCCAGTAACCTGAACATATTTTACTCTCCTGAACAGAAATTGTTTTACCATAAACAGTTAATATTGAGATAGGTTTCACCTTAACAAATAGGATTCATATTAACTGTTGTTATAGCCTGAAAAACTTCAACTGGATCCATTTTCGGTACTTTCATACGTAACTTTATCGATTGGCAGGTAATCCTACCGCACAGCCACCAAGTATCAACTTGCAAAATATATGGTATGCCAGAGCGATTTCACACAACTGCCGCTAAGATTAGCCGCACGGGAAGTCCATCAATACCCTGGATCGTGGCGTGACCGGGGTTAACAACACTCTGCGGCCTTATCTGTGGGTATGCAAATGTTGATTTCACTCACATGATGTTGCGTCCTGTTGCTGGTCAAGTATGGCTAAGATCTTATGACGGTTTAAGCTCAAAACCCATGCTGAAGAATGCTGCTGCTGGTGGTTGTTACTGAATTTAAATTATATCAGATTGAGCTCACGCACTTGAATTTCCAATTCGATATCCTCCTGACCATGAGTCAACTGTTCTCATCCTTCAGACTAAACATAGAGGTCTTAGACTGTGCGACTTGCAGACTATACGAATGTTGTATGGAAAGTTTAAAGTCAAAACGCAGAGTAGCTGAATCAGATGTTATGATCCGATGTTTTGGCTGCCTTGGCCTCGGCATTCGGCTGATCACTAAGTTAGTCAAGTGTAATTTCTTCTACACCGATGTCATGCTGTTAGTGGTGATGACGAATTTCTTCTACAACAGTTGCTAGATGCTAATGGGAAAATTACCTCTCATAACAGATAACTTTCGGAAAACGATAGGGGTTTACTTAAGTCGTTCTGTTTGTTCGTGGAAAACAGCGCAAATGCATTCGCCACTTTGGTTATCATGTTGGGTTGCTAAAAACGATGTAAATACACAATCACATGTTTGTATGCATTTTATTTATATTCTGACTCCGATTGGCTGGAATTCTTGATTGCGCCCCGATTTCACCTTCATGGTTTATTTCTTATCGTTTGTTGCGTGAATCAATCAATAAAGTTTGCTCATCAAATCGTTGTCCTCATTAGTTCAGTTGACCTGAGAGTTGAGATCACAAAATGATGGAAACTATTAGGACTCAATTGTTTCGGAGGACTAGGGTTTGTACTGAAAGCGAGCAGGCAAAGTGAGTTCGCGTTTTGCGAAATCCCCCCTGCTGGAGCACAAGACTAGTTTGAATGAAGTTTGATATGGGAGATTTATTAGTACAGCCGAATGGGTCTGCCCTGCTTCTGGGACATAAGATTCCTGTTTAGGCAGGGTACCTTCTTTGAATAGGATGATGGTACTGAACGAAAGATGTGTGCAGCATTCATTAGTATCATAGATGTGTTTTATCGTTTATGTTTTGACTGCTTCGCACGCCCTATTTTTGAAAATGAATTGAGTGTAAATACTCACTCGTTTTGCACGCCGCCCCAGCAGTAGAGTTCGCCTCCGATAAGCTCACTATTCTACTTATTTATTGCTACCCGTAGTCTGCTTCAGCGAGCTGGACTGGCGGGTGTAAGCCCGGTGTATAATACCACTTTATGGATTTCCTCTTTGTTCTCATCTGTAGCCAAAAGCATATTGCACTTCAATGTTACGTTTTTTGCCTGTTGATCAGTGTTCATTATCAGCTACCAGAATGATCCAAAGGCTCCGGCTTGATGTTGTGCACCCAAGTGCACGAAGCTTATGGATTTTCCTGTCCGTAATTGTGTCCGCATAATGCGACATCAAAATTTATACTGATTCCATCTGCATTTTTTCAACTAACAGCTAATTCGATGAAAAGGGCTCTCGATTTGGATTGGTTTACAATCAGATATCGTTGTGGTTGCCTTAGAGCTGTATGTAAAAGTGGAAAGGCTTATGAGAGACTCAATTAGGTGGTCAACACGGACCGGATTAGGTAAGTACTTTCAGTGGTGAACGATTACTCCATCTGTGTGCTGACCACAGGCTTTTGCATGTAGTACCAAGTTCCGAAATAGCTAAATTCGTCTGGCTACATGTTATCCTCAAACTGCGTGCCGGCTGCGAACTTAAATTGATCACATCGTCATCAGTTACCCGTGGTGCGGATCAATAACTAAGTGGCCCCCGTTTCGCAAAATATTTGCGGATTCTGACCACGCCGTCTTCCTGGTTCACTTCTCCCTTCGTTCCCCATGGTCGTGTAAGGTGCGGGTAAGTGGCTTAGCAAGTGAGGGATAGGCAGATCCCGATAGTAAACGAACTTAACAGAAGTGTCTTCTGGAGTTTCTTCAAACGGTCGCATTACCAGATGTTCTATAATGCTGGAACGGCATCGCCATCTGTTTGTTCAGTTTTGACGGTTTTGCTTCCGGCATTTCGTTGCTATCGCACTCTAGCATTGGATATCAGACTGAATAGTGACACTGTTTAATCTCAGAAAATTTCCGAGCCGCCCCAGCCGAACATAACTTGATGAGACGAATTTTCAGACCTTAGGTGAAGGTGAGAGTGCAGGCCAACCGTAAAAAAGCCGAGGAAATGGAAGAGGTTCAGAAAGCCTGGAATGCCCGAAGATTATTTCAGTTGATCCGTGCGACCGGTCACCGGAAGCCACCTGTGAGCGCCGTTTGCTCGCCTGACGTTGGCTAATAAAGCAATGGCTCGAGAGCAGCAAGCGGGATTCCGGCCTGGTAGGGGTTGTTTCAACCAAATCGTCACACTTTGTCAGGTGCTAGAACAACACCACACGCACAGTCGACACATACTTCTAGTATTCCTGGATTTCCAAGGTGCGTTTGACTCGGTTGACCGGTCTGTTCTTGATACGCTTGCCCACCAAGAAATTCTCCGGAAGTTTGTGAACATAATGAGGTCTTTGTATTCTCCGACTTCTGGACATGTGAGAGTATACAGGGAGCTCTCCAAAAACTTCCGTACATGAAGCTGTATCTGCTAGGGGTGCCCACTCTTTTCATTCCTATTTAATTTCATCATTGGTGAGATAACGAGACGAACGTCGGAATACGTTCAAAACCCTGGTGTGCAAATAGTCTCTGACGAAATCCTTGTTGATCTGAACACGCAATCACTGAACAGTCCACTTAGAACACAGAGAGAGGTACTCGAATTTGTGGGGCGTTTTACGTATCTTTGGAGCTGTATTAATTCTTATTGTAGTGTGACAGGTGAGATAAATGCACGAATCTGAAGGGCCCGGGTCACGTTTTCCAATTCGAGACACCTATGGCGTCAAAGTTATATATCCCTGAATCTCCATGAAAGTGTGTATATGGCTGTGAGACTTGGCCTGTTCCAACAGCGGATTTGAGACATCTTCAGGTGTTTCTTGGCTCGTGTGGGTTGATGTCGGCGTATCTTTAATGAGGCAATTAGAAATCGAGTTTTCAGTTGTGAAACGGGTACTTCCATTGAAGAATGTGTCCAGCATCATAAGCTGTGTTGGTTGGGACATGTGCTGCGTATGCCTAACCATCGTTTGTTGAAGAAAGTGTTGTTTGCCGTACCCAACTCTGAGTGGCGTAAGCAGAGGGGAGGCCAACCCCTGACATGGTAGAGGGTTACGAAATAGGATACAAAAAGTCCGTGTCACTTTCCAGGATTGAGATCGGGTAATCCCCACTGCGTCTGTTTGGAGACGCTGCAAGATATGGTTACAAATCGACGTCGGTGATGCTCTTCTTGTCGGTTTTCATCCACGTTGCCTGAATGAGTGCTTTAATTTCAATTTTCCACTTATCAACTATAAGGCACGTATCATAGACACATTAGTTTCAGCTGCTACGGTTTTGATGACCGTAGAACGGAACGATTTTGGACATACAGCCAAGCGTTAGAGGCGATGGTATGTTCAGTTAATTCGGGAATCAGGTATCTTTGCCTTGAAGGCGATGGCTTTGATGTACGAGCGCCGCTGATGGCGCGATCGGGAGTTGTAAGCACCACTGAAGAACTGAAATGCGAAAGCACCCAATCCTTTTCCCTTGCACTTTTGTTTTTTATCCCAAATTATGACTCTGAAAATAATCATGGTTTTACGTCGGTGAAGCATCGGTGGATAAAACTGATGCTATGCTGACGGTGAGCATGATGAGGAAGCTGATGCTGGTGACGATGGCGATGATGATTATGATAAAGATGATTTTAATGAGGATGATGATTATGGTACTGATTTTTGTTTGGCATACTATGGTTATTTTAGATAGGGCACAGATGCGCTCTCCATTCATTATTTATTGCCGACTGAAACCAATAACAGGCTTTGGATCCCTTTTAGCGTGTATTTGGAAAACGAATAACAAGGTTCTGACGAATACACTCAATTGCATATCAACCTGGTTTTCATAGGAGACTCAGCTGAATCTCTCGCTTACGATATTATTCAACTAAATGTGCTGCACGAGGTTGTTATTGTCTACTCAGACAGACAAACTGCAGGACGCAAAGGAAAACCTTTGCGCACGGTGATATCTGGTCCAGCATTCTTTAGTGTGAATCGTTCTCTCTAAATTGGATTCAACAGTAAAACTAATGAAATTCAAAGAGACTGGGATTTTATTAAAAGTGGGGTTTAATGTGCCTGAAAATGAAGTTTCCAAACAAACGGCAGGGAACGTAAATAATCAGGATATTACGTTAACAGTAAAAAATAGGAGAAAGTAGTTTAGGGGATGGGTAAAACCCGAAAATAGCGTGGTTCATTGTATGCTGTCAAACGGATTGGATAAAAGATTCACTAGTTGATGACGTAGCACTGATTGCAGTGTAATTGTTTTGTTTCAAGGAAAGAAAGCTAACTCCACAATGAGTACTCTTCATTGTGAACCAAAATCCCAACCACTTTGTGGCCACTTCGGTCACAAAATACCTGAGCGATTATAACATATCCCACCAGTATCCCTTCTAGATTTTACTAAATGGAAAAATGTCCTCTGCTTTGTTCTTGATCTTTATCGCACAGAGACGATCTGGTTCAGATGATATTATATGGATAAAATCATAGCTCACGAAAAAATTAGCAGGACTAATTACCATCCATAGAATAGGACTGGGAAAGCTGAAAACATTTGAGTTTATAAAAAATTCCGATCAGCAGGGATCACACTACTTGTCAAGGGGGCATCACCAGACCGAATTATGTCGACTCAGAAAACTGAAGAATGAAGTCCCATCCTACGTAATGCTCGGTTGAAGAACATCACAAACTAGTGATTCAGCATGATCGAATTAAGTCTCAGTCAAAAAGTTGTTAGATGCAAGTGTACTTCACAAATCGCATACGATTTGGGCTTAAGTGAAACACAGGATCGACAGAAACTAGTGGGCTGCGCCTAGCTGGTGAACGCGAAGAAGGTCAAATCCAGTTAGCAGCAACCCTGTGAGTAGCATGTTCCGTCTAGATAGTAAGTTTCGTTTCACAACGAAATCTGTTCCTTTGACAACCAGCTTTTCCAACCGCTCAGAATTATCACGAAAGAAGCGAGTCGACTGGCTGGAGCCCGAAACTAGTAGCATTTAGTGTCTGGTGTCATCTAAACACAAGATACTAATCGACATTTTGTTCATTGATCAAATTCATACACACACACCTGAGAAAGAATGAAATCAACCTCTGTTAATCTGCATCTTGATCCGCTGGACCCACTAGACACTACACGCTTTGTGTGTGCAATTGCAAAATTCTTCCGATTGAGAATGCTTCAAAGTGAAATTAGGCGGTAAACCTGAAAAGAATAGAAGCAACCTCACTGGACAAAACAGATTACATGTTCCACAGTAAGTAGTACAACACTTGAACTTTATCACTTGCCCAGGCGTCATCATCATGAATGAAGTTCAGTAGCCGCCTTTGATAAAGGGGTTTTCTGGACACTTCCAAGCAACACTCAGGGCCTAAAGTTCATTTTTGTCGAGAATATCCCTAGTTTTGAGTATCCGTTGCAGCACCCCCACACAGGAAAGAAGAATATAATAACAGTACTCATACACTAATATTAAACTATGTACTGGTGTATCTTGTCCTGAATAGTGCGAGTCGGTATATTGTGACACTGCAAATAGTCCACAAGCCGCATAATGAAAACCTGGGTAGTTTTATTTTTCGGGCAAGGGTACTAACAAGGTAATATTTATCCCAACCGTGGGCCCGAAATTCATAGACCAAAAGGTCTAGTTTATTCACTTAAACCACATCCAACTTTGTAATTTGATCATGAAGAGGAAGGCTTATTTTCAAACCCAAAGATGTTAAGATGAGACTTAGGTGACCCACTCTTTGATGGTCGTCTTCATTTAGTATGCTGGGTCAAGGCCACCTCAAAATTCAGTCTGGTCGGTATTCCTACATTGAACATTAAGTCAGTTCTCTCACCATTTTCTCTTCAAGTTTCCAAAGAGCGTCTGGTCCCATCCACATTCAATAGGATATATGGCAAAACCTAAAATAATTGTAACTATACGAAGCTGTCGCAAAGATTTCATCAGCCCTATAAGATAGGCCAATGTAGATAGATAGTGAGTAGTAGTATCATTTCAGAAACAAAGTGACTACATTTCTGCTGCAGCGGATAACACGACACGTGCCTTGACTAGGTAAGCGTGCATTTGCCCAAATAATCAGTTTTTCGAGGAAAAAAGCCCTGTGATCACCACTGAGCACAGTGAGATTCATTAAGCTACAACCGCCTTAAAACAAAGCATTCTGTTCTATGGTAGTTTGTATTGATTACCCACACACACTATAGATCGAAATTGATTTGTTGGGTCACGTGCCTACTTAGATTGATTACCGTTTGTGAAATGTTTGGCGGTTGACTTGGGGTC